AAAAGAGGGGGGGGGGGGGGGGGGGGGGGGGGGTTGATCGTTTTTCTGTGGTTCTGTCTTGAAATCTCACTTAGAAAATATGCACAAGCTCCCTCCGCACACAACGGGAAGAGCGGAGGGACAACATTCCCCCCCCGCCCTTGTAACCACTCTGAATTAAAAAAAAAGGCTCTCTTCCTCAAATCAGTCCCTCCCCCCCCCCTATCCTTTTGTGGTCTCGTTTGTTCTTTTCCGACGGGTGATGCAAAATACAGACACCGGCTTTCCAACCCCACCGAGCGTTCTTGGAAGCGGTGGAGTTCGACGAAAAGGAGGCGGTAAGAGTGGTGGATGCCTCAGCGGAGTGCTTCCGGGCCGCTCGAACTCTCGCCTCAGACCTCCTGCGCCAGGGGGACTTGGCGGCCAAAGAAGCGTCGGTAGCGGGAGTTGCAGCAGCACTAGCAGGCAGTGGCTGCTGCAGCGGCGACGGCGGCGGCTGCGGTGATCAAGACGCGCCGAAGGCGGTCGCGGTTGTGGATGCGGTCGGCGCCGGATGGGCGACGGACCGGCTGGAGCTGTTGGCGATGGCCAAGCTCGCCGTGTCGAACGGGGTGGCCGCTATGCAGGTGGTCAAGCGTGCTTCGGCGGGCGGGGAGAAGGGGAGGGCGAGGCTGGAATTTGACGCGCACAGCCAGTTCCCGGTTGCGAAGGCAACCTTCGATTGATGAAGCTGGCCGTGGGGTTGGTTGTGTGTGTAATTAATTAGCATCATCACGATTGGATTGGGGTTGCGATTTTTGCTGTAATCATCTCGTGGTTCGATCGAACCGTGTTTCTTCGATTTCGTCACACCTAAAGGTTCATTTTTTTACTGTGGGCTTTTGTTTGAAGGAGGTTTTGCAGTTGATTTGAATGCTGCTGAGCTCAGACTTTTCCGGTTGGTGCTCTCTCTCCAAACCACGTGTGTGTATGAGGTAGGTGGTGGTCATGTACCTGTCGGGTTTATCGAACACGATTTCTGAGTGCTGTGATTTTACTCGGGGTCTGTTGGTGGAGTAACTGCAAAGCAAATGGGTGTACCAAACTTGAATTTACGTCTTGAACGTGACCCCTGAGGGATCGCTGCGCCACGCGCTCCCGTGTATTTGTCAAGTTGTCTCGTTCTAGTGGAATACCGTTGAGGTTTCCTGTGCCATGTGTTCGGAGGCGATAGACACTGTTACCTAGCTCGGAGGATTTCCGGTGTTTCCCGCCGGCATGATTTGCCGTGGAATTTTCTAAGAATTTTCGTCACATGCCTCTGGGGCGCGCGCGTTAAGCCTCTTCTAAGTGCCGCCTGCAGGTGCCCTCGTCTCCCTTGCGGCGAGCATGGCCGGCCTTCGCAGGGGAACTCCTTCCACGCGAGGCGGACCCCCCTCGGGGTGCGTGGTGTTCACAACCGCGCGCCCCCACCCCCAGTTTGAGGCCTCTCTCTTTCTCTGTTGGGAACTATACGTGTGTGCTTGTCTTTTGCTTGTTTGGATCTATCCTCCGTGTGATTCCGTGGTTGCTTTCCATTTTTTACCAGCACTGATTTTGTCTGGGTTGTGAGGCTCTGCGCCGCGCTTGGTTCCACGGATCCCGACTGCTCATTTCATTGTTTTTTGCAAGGTTACGTGCTTGTCTTGTCTTGTCTTGTCTTGTCCTTTTGTTTTTTTTTTCCTTTTCCTCGTTTTTTGTTTTTTTTACTCCAAGGCGTTGTCTTATTATGCCTCTTCTTCTCTTGGATTACTGTTGTCTTGTACACAGTACGTAAAGAGCGAAAGAACCCCCCCCCCCTCCCGGGCCGGCGAAAACCCGGCATATCGCTCCGTCCCGCATTGTACGGGTGCAGGGTCCATGGTCTGACGACTTCGTCATGCATTTACACGAGTTTTCACACACACACACACACACACACGGATAGTCCTGCCTTCTTGAGTCGGAGATCTCGGAGATCTCATGTACGGGATCACACGGAAGGGAGGGTGACCTGCGAGTCTTGTCTTCCAGCTTTTATTCGAGAAGAGTTTCAACACCGTATTGTCTGACTGTAACCGCCGTGGTTTTGTTGACAGTCCTGGATAGGAAACCCCGCGTGTCGGTAGCAGTGATGGGTGGGAAATCAATCTCATGGACGAGAGAGAGTTGAATTCACTACCGGACCTTTTTGCGATTGGATCGCCTGAACCACCACCACCGCGACCCGCTGGCACCGTTTTACGTGTGTAGCTGAGCCGCTGGGTGCTGTGTGGCGCTTGAGAGAAGGAAGATGTGTTCTTCGTCGTCTCCATGTATGTATGCTTTCAATCTCTCACCCGCCGACAGTAAAAGCATGTTCGAGGGCTGCACAACTAATTGGGTGGAAAAAATAAATCATGGTGGGTTGTGATCTATCTTCGTGCTGCATCTCGACAGCGCCAAGTTATGTTCGTTGGTTGTCCTTAGCGTTTCCTCTGGCCTGGCCACACGGCCCTGTCACAGCGATGCCCTCCCCCTCCCCCCCTCCCGTCCCTGCGGTGCCCCGTCGTCTCGCCCGTTCCCGGGAGTTCCAACATGCGCCGGAAAAAATTCTCCAACCTTGCGGTTCATCGTCCGGCTCGAGCAGTACAGCGTCAAATGCGAGCGTGGACGGGGGTGTCTGTAGAACAACATTGCAAGAGCTGCAAAATGTTAACGAACCAAAACGAAATCCTAGCTCGAACTCGAGGCATGTAGACATTTCATGAGCGGACCACAGTCAGTCTGGTGTGAGTGAATGGGAGTGGGAGTGGAACGCGCCTTGCAAGTGCACACGCAATTCAAGCACTGCGCGTACATTTCCTGGTTAGGTCGCCCTCTTCGAATTTCGGTGCACTTGGTTTTGAAATCTCCCCTGTTTGTAGGTCACGCAATTCTCGGGGCGCCACGTGCCCTACGGAAAACACACACCGAAAAAAGGGTCGGTCGGGTCGTCGGCTCAGCGGCAAACCTTTTCGCCATTGTTCAAACTTTCATTCGTAGAATATAGGTAGATAACAGTCTCACAGAAACTTGCCCGTTCGAGATGACGCTCCACTCGAAGGGATGATATGAGTGGACAGTCTACATTCCAGTTTTTCAGTGAGTGTTTCGGGTTCACGTCTCGTTCGGTCCTCCAGCAAAATAAATGTGGATACCTACCTATTTATCTATCTATTTGGGTAGTAGGAGAACAGCAAACAAACCGTTTGCACATCACACTCACTGCTCCCAGTACTTGCTGCGTCGACTCTACCCTATAGGCACGACCCATGGTTCTTGTACATACACGTACAACGTTCTCACTAATCGCCGGCAGCACAATGCACCTGTGTATGACGCTCGCTGACCATCCCACCAAAAAACGCATCATCGATTACCTGCCTGGTCAGGTTTGGCGGACAAGCTTATCCGAAAGTCCCATCCGCAACAAAATCGCACTCCACAGCAGTAGTGTGCACAGGGGTTCTCTCATATACAGATCGGACTACTACACACACACTCACCAAGACACGGCCAAACAACCACGAGAGCACAACAACGGTCAGGGCTCAGCACCAAGAGGACGCAACAGGGTCATACAGCCAATTGAATCGCGGTATGATGTCGGCGTTCGATGGGCTAGCCACAACGAACACCAGATCCCCTTTCTTCCTTTTTGTCCTAGCCCGGGCGGTAGTTTAACCTCTCTCGCCAACCTCACAACGCACGGTATCGCCCCCCCCTTCTCTCGCTGCAACCACATCTGCCACGATTTATTGATTCCGTCGGGGGGGGGGGGGGGTCTAGGAAAAGGCCGTTGTACATAAAATACATGAAAAAACATCTTCCCGATAGCCATACAGCGGGGGCTCGCTATGGCAACACACGCAATTTTTGTACCAGCACGAGAAATTATTGCCCCAACGGGACGCGTGACGTGAGTGTCCACATACACATCACAACCGGCACGTGCCAACATGAGAACCATCTAACAGAGAACCAGCTACGTAGCTCCTGCTTACCACGGAGGTCTCCGGGGCTAGGTAGCGAGCGGGGGGGGAGATTCGATTATAAACGTCTTCGCCCCGAGTCGGTCGATCTGTCTGCCTCGTCGTCAGACTCCACACGTCGGCATGGAGCATGGGCAGGCGGGCGCTACATCTTACCGCCAGACTTCACATCGATCGTCAACCTAGAGAAGGAGGATCGAGTACGGACCACAGACCCTCAGTTTCTCCTCAAGAAGGCGGCCCCCTTTCGCATGCATACATGTAGCCAACCAACTTCAACCAAAATTTATTGCCCAATAGACCTCAAAGAGAGTTTCTTGTTGACAAGGGAGGGGTGGGTCGGTCCCCTCTACGTGGCACTCTGCGACCTCCCCCCCCCCCCCCCCCCAAAGGAATTGGTTTTTTTAACCCTTAGCTGTTTTAACAAAAACGGGGTCCCCACAACGGGGGCCGGGCCAACGGGGAACCCCAACTTTGGAAAAAAAGGCCGGGTCTCCAGAAATTAATTTTCCCCCCTTTCCCGGCCCTGAAGAAAAAAAAGGGAAGGAAGAGGGGGGAACAAAAGCCAAACCCTGGGGGCGAATGGAAAAACCTTTCGAAGAAGGGGGGGGGTTTTCCCCTTAAGGTTCCCCCCCAGGGGGTGCCCCAATTACGGAGGGGGGGGGGGGGGGGGGGGGGGGAAAAAAGGCCCCCCCCCCGGGGGGAATGTTTTTTTTTTCCAAAATTGGA